GCTCAGGCTATAGGGAATGATTCCCCAAAGGCAGCTTGTTTAGCATCCAAATCAGCTGCTCTGTTTTCCTGGGACTCTGTCAAAGAGCTCTTCTGTTGGCCTGGACAGTGGATCACCACAACGTTGGTGGGAAGCCAAATGGCCTGCAACTAGTTAAGAATCTCTTAGGAAGTCTTACTTTCTTTTTCTCCCAGCAGGCCTCTCTCTAGGTAGATAGCACCATGCACACACTGTAGGAAAGGCATAGCAAGAGTCAGTGTAAATGTTTACCTGCCAAAGCCCAAGTAAATGCAATCAGCTCAGCTTTCTGAGCCCATGTTGCAGGAGGCAAAGCCTCAGGCCAGACAGTCTACTTGATGGTAACAATATTCTGCCCAAACTTGGAAAACATTTAGGGGACCAGGGAGATGGCTCAGTGGAATAAGCGCTTCCCTGGCAAGCGCAAGGCCTTGAGTTCAATACCCTGTTCCAACAAAAAAAAAAAAAAAAAGATTGTGGAGTTGGAAAACATTTAATCCAAGGAAGAAAAGCAGATTGTGATGCATTAGTAGAATCTAGGAGGTGGGCTGGCCTGACTGCTCAGCAGACTAAAGTGCCTGTTTAGGCAGTGTAGCGGCTTGGGTTCAATCCCTAGTATGCCAAGCCGGCCCCGCCCCTGGGGTGTGCTGAGATGGTGATTGAGACTGCATGGTGTCACATGCCTGTAATCCCAGCACTTGGGAGGCTGAAAACAGGAGGATTGCTACACATCAATCTATGTAATGAGACCCTGCCCTCCGAACCCCATTGATTACCATACTGTTTTTGTCCAAGAACAGAATCAAGTCGGGGCTCAGGAGGGGTTTATCATGCAACTTCAGTCTGGCCAAGTAGAGTGCTTCAGTCACTTTTACACAGTCATACTCTGGCAGTTCCAGCAATGTCAGCAACAGGGAGGCAGGATTGAGAGCCTGTACAGTCTTAATAGTAAGCCGAGGATCCCTGAGTGTTCCCTGGTACTGGGCCAGCCTAGTCCCTGAGAGCCACTTACCACCAGGTCTTCTTGGTAGTTTCTACTGCATGGGGAACAAACACATCCAGGTTTTGCGTCAAGGTCACCTTATCAGCCTTTTTTAGTAGTATGGTAGTGGCATGGAGACAAGAAAGCCACCCAGCCTCCACGTAGTCTAGTCTCTTGGGTAAGTGTGCTACTGTGGTCCCAAATGCTGAGTTGTTCCCACCTCATGGATGAATAACTGAAATGATTTAGTGATGTCAGGCAACACCAAAGCAGGAGCACTTAGAGTCTTAAAGGCTGTCTAGCATTCAGAGTTCCACTCCAATGGAGAATCATCTTGTCCTTTCAAGACTTCATACAAGTGTTTGGCAATGGCTGCAAATTTAGGAACCC